AACGCGCGTCGCTTTGTCCACTGTTGGAATAAGATAAGAGCTTCGAAGAGAGAGTAAGAAATCCTGGCTCATTTGAGATGATTCACACTTGAGTAGATCTATATTAAAACCACCCATGATATAAACGTCCTTGTCATCAGACACCAATATTTCTACTGTCTTATCTAGATACGTTAGGAAATAATCGGTCCAATTGTGTTGATCATAAATTATTCCACAAACGATGTTTTTATGGTTGACAAAAGAGATTTCAACCCGAAGGACTCGGAATGCCTCATTTGAAGTCTTTTCAAGAACATTGTAGTTTATTGATTGATCTTCAAAGACGCCAGCGCCTCCAGAGGCCAGTGGCGTTAGCACGTGCTCAAGAACATACCTAGAATACACTAGCTTTCGCAGGGGCAGTAGTATTCGTTAGATTTCTCATTGAATTCGTAGAATAATATAACTATTCTTTTATGAAGAGATGTTTTTTGGTCATTCCAAGAACGTGGGACAGGAAGAATTCCGAGTGCCCATGAGGAATTGAACCTTAGACATTCAGATCTGTTCTCCGATGAGCCACAGAGACTCTATCGTGAGAAGGTCTGAGGTTCGCATCCTCCTGTGGACTCGGACTGTATTCTTTGTCCCACGTTCCTGGACAAGACGGAAAACACCATCTTTTTTCTTCTGCCGGCGCATCCTTTTATGTATTTACCGACTCTGTTCGTCAAGCATGTTTCTCAAACGTTATCAAGCTTTTTTAGTTTGTATCAAGAACTAAGGTTTTTTTTGTCTCAGGTATGACAAGAACAGATTTGCAAAGACAATAAAAAGAAAGTCGGGGTAATCTTGAACAAAATAGGTAGTCACTGATTTTTTTCAACGCCATCAAATCTAGCTTCGCCGGAAAAGATTTTACCCGCAAACGTGACCATTTCTGTAGCGAAAATTAGCATGTTTTGACCATCTCTTTTTTTTTTTTCTCTTCTCAACGATTTACAAATTTTTTCAAGTTATCACCGCGGCAAAAAAAGAAAAGAAAAATAACTTTCACGGATAACAACGTTGAACGCTGGATATCCTTATTCAAATGACTGTGAATTCACGAAAATCATAGATATTGAATGCTTATCAAGAAATAAACATGAACGCGATTTTCGCAGTAATGAGAACTATTTAAGCAGTAGTGAAAATAAGCTCTGAAAAAAATCAGGCCTGTATGGGATTTGAAACCATGACTTTTGCGATACTGGTGCAGTGCTCTACCAACTGAGCTAACAAGCCAACTGGGAGCTGGCTATTATGTTGGTTCGTAAAAACCTATGAATTGTTTTAGAAATCTGCTGGTAAAGCATGGTTTCAAGCAATATTTTTTCGCCATTAGTAAAATTAAACGCAGCAATCATAATTATAGATATTTAGTTCAAAGATTAATGAATAAAACCAGTTGGTCGTCAGTCAGTCGATGACATTGACCAATTTTTTAAGCCGATTTCTGGCTTCAGAATCCGTATTGTTATCATCTAGCCATGGTTGTTTCCTGACAGTTTGTTCTTTGCCGAACGGCAGCTCCATACGTTGAGGTGTAATTTCGCATTTCTTCCACTACCTTATAACACAGACATCTTTAAAGCGATAATTTTATCAAATAATCAAATTACAGCAGAAGTTTCGATGAACTGTCATTAAACAATTTTTTTTCGCCGTTGTTGTCGCTTTCCTCGTAAGGGGAAGAGACAAAAAACTGATTACTAACCCGAGCCAAGAGAGAACGGAACACCACGAGATCAAAAGACACCGTGAGCAAAATTAAATTGGAGCAAAATTGTCACGTACACTACACATCACAGCCACTGAAAAAACCGACAATTTATTTTGCCCTAAGGTAATCCTACCCTCAAGGAAATTAAGCCGAATTTTTGATAGGGAGTTTGGACGCACGTCTTATCTTCAAAATCAGTGGAAAGAAAAACTAGGAGGGCGAATTTAGCTGCGATATTCAGCGTTGTTTTCATTGTAGAACGATTATTAGGGAGACAGTATTTGCTAACTTCAAACTATAGCTTGTAACTTTGAAGTGAGAGCACTTGGAGTCTATTTTCGGTGTGAGAAATATTTACTTGGACTTAACTTAGTGACCATGGAAACATTCGCAGTTCAAAGAAGCCGAAGATCGCTGTCAAGTTTTACGAACACTTTGATTGAGTAAACACTTGATCAATATGTAAGAAATGAAGGTCAACTGGGAGCGATGTGCGTCACAAATCGAAAGGATGGACAAATAAACGTAGGAGATCCAAGTCTCGGTCGAAAATAAATTTTCACCAAAATAAATAAAAAAAAAAAACAGTAACAAAGTTGACTCCAAGAAATGCACCACAACAGCGTGCGTACATGATGCGTGCTGACCTATTACACTGTCCAATCACGAGCATGAAGCGCACGCCGTCCTTTCAGTGGTCAAATTCGCCTGAAATCGAGAATTTCGCTTCAGTTTTGATTAACAATATGATATAAGCTTGAGTGAAGTGTTTTGAATAAAAAGATGGATTGACAAGTACAAGTACATAGACGATAGCTTGCCTTTATTCAATATTTCTGCGCATGCCAAGTCCAATATCTGAAATTTCGTATCGAGTATCGTATGCCAGAAAAAGCTGTTCCTTCTTGACCTTTCAGTTGCATGCATGCCACATATTTCACTTACGTAAGGCTGTGTTTTCATTCTTGAGTAGAGATACAGCTACAAAGATGTCCTTTTACAAAAACTCAGAGGGCGCCCAAATTGGAATCACTGCTGCTTTCTGCTTCTTGGTAATTGTGGACCTCATCGGCAATACCTTGGTTTGCCTGGTAGTCTACCGTAACCGAATAATGCGCACCCCAATGAACTATCTTTTAGTCCACCTTGCGGCTTCGGATATAACTGTAGCGATTTTCATCGCGGCGCGCTTTATCTTCCCCCTGCTGTTCGAGCATCCGAAGGGAAGAGCCGGTGATGTGGTTTGCCAATTGTTCACAGGGGGAGCATTCATATGGGTCGGAGCCCTCGTCTCCGCTTTCTCCCTCGTCTTCATAGCGCTAGAGCGCTATCTCGCCGTTAAATTCCCCTACGACGAGCGTAAGCGGGTAACGACCGTCAAATTAAAATGTGTTGTTGTATTCAGCTGGGCGTTCGCCGCATCATGGAACTTACCCCTTTTCCTGTATGCACGTTACGACCCTGTTAGCGAGTTCTGCCGGTTCCAATGGCCCACAGCGACTATCACGCAAGTTCACAGCCCACTAAGCGCCGTATTGTACGGCGTCTTACCGATTTCCATCATGACTTACTTGTATTTACAAGCTGTGGTTTCGTCCTTTGGTTACCTCGACCATGGTCCAACAGAGCAAGCTACGTTACACCAGAAAGTCCGCTCGGATAGTGGTCACCGTAAGCGTGGTTTACTCGATCTGTTGGATACCCAACCTGGTAGTGTACGTCATCTCTTCATTCAGCACACAGCAAATGTACTCCGCCGTACACATGACAAGCATCGTCTTGGTCACTCTTAATTCAGCTATCAATCCTGTGTTATACAGCTGGCAGAGTGACCGTTTCAGGAGGCATATGCTGGCGCTGCTACCGTTTGGTTGCTCCAGCAGGCCGTGTCGAGTACCCCCCGCGGTTATGTCGGAAGGGAATGCTTCGAGTAAGGCCTCACGTCCTATACAGATTATTCCGCTTGTAGGTAGGGGCCCTGTCGCTTGAACATTACAACACAGTAAGACCCATGGGGGCTGTACACCCATTGAACACTTGCCACTGTTCCTTAACCTCGTATAATGACTAGGAGACTAATTCTATCTACAGTATCTCTCTAAAGTCAATATTCGGGTCGTGAGAAGAAAGATGATCGCCATTTAATGAGGATCTTGATTGTTAAACAAATTCTCTTTGTCAGCATCTTAGGAAATTCAGAGAGTAGTATAGAGAATAAGCGTATTGACTTTAGGGGGTAACGGGGTAATTCGGGTCTACAGAGTGACACTTGGTGACCAAAATCTTGGAAGGAACTGAAGGGAGAGTTTTGCAGGCCAAGCTTTGGGATTCTCGCTGCTCTTCGCACGAACGAGTGTCAGATATAAGAACATCATATATTACGTATTTTAATTGTGGGTTTATAAATGAAGATAAGAGTGATCATCGCACCGTGATGACCACCACTTAAGCGAAAAAAAAAAATCTTGAAAAAAAACTCAGGCTTTTACGTCAGTTGAACCCATGACCTCTGCGATAACGCTACCGCATCGGTTTGTTGGCTCAGGTTGTTGGGCAGTGCTCTGTAACTTGAGCCAACAACGTTAAGCTTGGATCTTAAAGATGCGTTGAAACTCGAATGTTTCCAAAAATGCTTTAGCAGTAATTGAATCTAATTGTTGGAGAAACATAGTCGCGAGCACTGAAAGTCTAGATAGAAAGGAAACATTTCAGAGAAGTTGTTCAGTCTAACTAGTCCATTGTGGCAGCACTTCAAGAGGTTTAAGTAAAAACTCCCCTCTCATAACAATCAGTCGATTCCTTTTAAGTTTGTGATTTGCTCGTATTTAATACTCACTAAAAGGTCTGTAAAGAAAACGATTGTATTTTCAACATCAGACCTAGGCAACTTTCTTGGTAACCTTTTCAAATAAGGCTTAGGTGCTGTACCGTTGAATACTTGTATGTATATTTAATTTGGTAGCGCATAAAAACAACAACACCGCCCCTCATGAAACAGCGACAATAGCGGTTGACATACATACCCTAGTTTGAGCAGGAGTTTTTGTTAATTAAATTGCATCGCCTAATTATTTCATTCCACTATGTCCCTCGAAGAAATTTGTATCGTTACGACGCTTTCCGTGTCAGTAAAAAAAGAGAGGAAGTAGATAGGTACCAACTTGCGGTTAAAATTAAAATTTTTAAGAAGGAATGGGAATTTTTATAAGGGCAGACTCAAATGTGTTTCAAGAATGGTCAACACCCAAACTGAAATACGGCAGCTCGATTCAATTTTTATTTAAATCTTACAAAAATGGAGTAACATGATTACAACTTTGAGACGAAATTATTTTAAGTATCAACAGCAATCGATATCACAATTTCAAGGTTCGGTTAATGCCACCCTCCTGAGACCCGTATCATTTTAACTTTTCTTTCGGCAAAAGGTGGTTATTTTAAAACCTGGAGAATTCCTTATTCTAAGAAGACTTTCAAAATGTAACTGCTCGTGTAAAATTCGCCAGCAATTCATCTTTCTCTCCTTCTGAAATTTTGGTTACTACATCTAAAGAATTCTATAATCAAATATGACTTTCAACTAAACACTACTCGTGTTATACTCTCCACCAGCAAATTCATCTTTACGTCCAAGAACAAGTCCCGTACGTTATTGTTTTCTCTTAAAAAATGATCGCAACAATAATAAAAAGCCAAAAACATAATAACAAACCATTTTACAATTAAGAGCACAGCTCGAGGGAAAAATACACGAAAAAGTCAGGCCGACATATCATATACAGAGGTTCCAATAAAGGCCAGTCTACTGCTAGACTTGTTTTTGAATAGGCCATCATGTTTGAGTTCACCATATACGGCCCCTTTATGGGGCAGAGGCGCCTATTACACCATAGGTGGTCGCTTAAGGAAAAAGTCATTGAAACCCATTACACGTGTGCTATAGGAGGCTGTTTGAAGCTTTTACGGGAGGAACTTCTGTTGACACGAGTAAAATTACTTGCGTGGCTCTTAAAATAATGATTTTTCTTCCCAAGTCAAAGCATTCCTCCACGAAAATCTTCAAACCTTGTTCTTTGGATGAGTTTATAATTCTTTCAAATATTGCATTACAAAGCCACGTTGTATTTTGATGGAACTCCTGACATTTCTTAAGAGAAGGTTCTTTTGTTTTGCTTACATAACGTAAACTTTGTCAGCTTGATCCACACGAAAAGTCTCCTTCGTTTTAGGGCAAGTAACGCGACCATCGTTTTCGTTCGCCATCCCCCGTAAAGCCTTCACAAGAGAGGGAAAACCAAAACATTAATGAATAAAAATAGTCTCTTCAAAATTTTTTAAAACAAATACAGAAGGAGGCTAACATCCCATGAATTAGCCAGAAGTTCATGGATGCTACCTGTACATATAAATGGCCGAACACCGCTTCCATGGTTGTTAGCCTTGGAAGGTCGCGTGAACCTTCAAAAGACAATTCTTCTTCCCAGCCATAGACACATCGGTCAAACGCCTGCGTGTATGCGAACGATGTAATGACTAGGTGGCGCGCTTTCAGGCTTTCAGAGCAAAGTTTTCTCACACGAGTTACAAACAACCACACAAGCTAGTAGGCCACAGTGTTTTATAAGCGTCTAACTTTTTTGATAATTAAACAGGATACCCGTACTTGAATAAGATTTGTGTTGTCTCGAATTTCCTTTTCGCTACTTTCGTATCCCTTCACAGATTTCTATTAAGTTTCAATTTTCTTTTGCCCGTTTTGCCCGATTTCAAAGACAAGCAGTGTGGTCAGCGGTAAGTCATGTCATGTAAAACTGTATAAAGTATTCCTTTCTTTTTTTTTTGCTTCTTGACCTCTGCGTTCATATGATTGTTGTGTTCAGACGGCAGATAATCAGTTAAAAACCAAAAAAACGCAATCACAAACGGATCTAAACTTACATTCTCTCCATATACGTATCCATTGGGAAGTACCATGGGAGGGTTGTTCTCGTTCATGATATGCCCTGACATGGGGCACACCAGCCTGGACTGAGCGCAGTGGGCGTACGGAAGAGGACGCCCTAAGATGTTCAGAGGGTGACTACAGACAGGACACTCAGAGCTCTTGTGGCCCTCTTGATAACAGTGACTGACAAATGTGTAGGTCAAGAATTACATAACATCTCCCAGAGGTATAAAATTTCTTATAAACAACTATAATAATATTAAATCTCTGAAGTAGCCACTATGCAGACAGACGGAAGAGAGCACTGTCAACCCTTTGACTCCTAGTTCTAATTAGTAATTCTCCTTACTGCTCCACAATAATTTGAATGATATTACTTCAGAGAATTTAGCATGGGATCAACCAATTTTCCTCTATTTTATATTTTTCTTTATTCTCATCACTTGTCTGCTAAGTACTGTATTGATAATGTAAGGAGAAATTCTGTCTTGGTCACCAATAGGAGTAAAAGGGTTAAGATGTGGCTGTTAAAGGGAGGTCATAACAAAATTACAAGAAAATACATGGACAGCCTAAAAAGGTACAACTTGAAAAAATGGTGGCACTGTTGGGGGAGGGGGAGGGGGAGGGGGAGGGGGAGAAGTCAGTCATATGGAGGATCAACTCTATACAGCTATGGCTTCTGTAACGATGTACATGTAAAAATTATGCGCTTCTGACTGGCTGAAATGAGTGCATTCTCATGTAACACCAGTACAACGTTGTAACACAAGTGCAAATTACAAATAGTGCATGCATGCTTTCAAAATTTCTGCATCTGTCTTAACTTTCTGTGATGTTTTTCCATGTTCATTGTTAACAAGCAATCACATGATTCCTCAAGCAATTTGGTGTAATAAGCAATTGTAGACTTTTCAAAGACCACAAACTGCACTTGCCCTATAGGCTTGTGCAATTTTGTTATCTTTGAAAAATTTACTTGTGGTTATTAACACCAAATTACACTCAAAGTCATGTTACTGCCTATACAAACAAAACTACCCTGCACATACCAATCAGCCACTTCAAAATTGAAAGCCTATCCTGTAAAAGGCAAGGATATATTTGTATATGTCATGCATGGCCAGCTTACATGTTCAATATCACTGTACATCAAAGCTATTCTTCCATAAACCCAAGGTATAAAAGATACGGTGTTTTGAGAGCAGACAATCCTGCCTGCAATGTGACAGCCAAAGCTGATTGATCATTAAGCTGGTGAAGTTGGAAATTCTCTCTCCTGAACTGCATCACCAGCTGACCCCATCTCTCCAGATCAAATAATTCCTGCAAATAAACAAATAATTGTATTTTCAAGGATAAAAAAGTAACAAACAGACAACTTCAAAAAAAAAAAAGAAAAAAAGAAAGAAAGAAAGAAAAAGCTAACAGCAAAGAGAGAGGCTTCAATGAACTTTGCTGTGATTGAATTCTCAAAAGCACAGAAAAAGAGTCAATGTGAGATCATTTTAAATTATCATAATGGTAAATCAAGTTCTTGAAAAATTAATTTTTAAAGTAGCAGTGAAATGATAAAGGTGTAGGTTGTAGGTTAAATGAAATTCAAGTTGAATGGTTTCATGCTGCATCTTCCTGCAGTTTACGCAGTTTAAAAGTATTAACAAATTGATTAGGAGTACTACATTGTCCCCACATGTACATACACGATTGAAATCATTTCTGTCTAAATTCAACCTACATGTAAATACTACACAACAAGTACTGTCTTGATACATATAAATGGACACTACAACAACAGAAAAGGAAACAAAAACAGATGGGTTGAAAGATGGACAAATACACAGAAAGACTAACAGGACAGACAGTCCATTAAAAATTGACAGAAGCATAGAATCCCAAATGAAAAAAGCCCAAAAAAACAAACTTACATGTAACAAGCACCAAAAGGTACATTGCAAGGGGACATCCATGTACTGTATATGTAAAAATAAGGAGATGAATTGTAACTCACCCTGTAAGGAGAGCAGCTGGTCCCTGGTTTGAAAGCCAGTAAAGCCATGGCTCTCTGGATCTCCTTTGTCATTGTACCATCAACATTTGCAGGAGGAAAATGCTTCCTAGCATACCTGTTCAAAAAGTGTAACATGCAAAGTAAAATACAATTTGATTTGAGACAATACACTGAATGTACATGTATGTACTGTAACATTTTTGTAACAGTATCAAAGAAAAGTACTATAATGATTAACATTAATCACCATCATCCAAGGTCCTACAATGAACTCAAAGACTCCAGATGAGCATGAATGATTAACACTTTCTTTAACTCAGATAATTCAGAGAGAGGTATTCCACAGCTAAAAGGCAACCCCAAAAAGGAAGGAACTGGTGAAATGAATGATCCAAATGAGAAAAACTTTCTCACTTTCGGAAAGGTGGACATAAAGAGAGCAACTACGCAAAGGTACAGGTACGTGTAGCATAAATACAGTGTACTCTATCAGTTGTGTACAAAAAAATTCTGTCATGATGAAAAACTGGTCTTTAATATAATTACAATCTCACACAAAGTGCTTTAATTAGGACAACATCTTAAGCAATTTACATGCTAGTACTGAAGCCTTCCTCAGTGAAAAGGTGAGTGCGGAAGGCATTAAACAGCTGCATGTTACTCATAGCTTTGCCATTTCACAAGTTAGCTGTACATAACAGAACATACCCACAAAGTACACTCATCTGGAAATATAATTGTTATTAAATACAAACACATCTGAATGCAAATGAAGATTTCCATTTGATACATCAAAGTCCTACCTAACTGCTTCCATTTTGTCACCTCTCCTCACCAGTTCAATAAACTCTTGCATTCTCACATTAAATTCAAGGTTACTCTATCAAACAAAATCAAAATAGATTACAGTACTTAGCCAACCAACGAAGAACATAAACATTACATGCAGAGCAAACCCAGGGTTGCTAAAAAGATTTTGAGACATTACTGTACATTACATGCAGAGCAAATCCAGGGTTGTCAAAAAGATCCTGAGACACTGGACTGTGCAACAATGCAGGCCACCTTAGGGATCATAAGTGTCATGTCTTCATTCTTTAAATTAAGCCACAAGCATTCTGAACAGCTCATGTTTTTTTCAGAGTTAAACTTAGGAAAGTCTTGCAGTTTGACAAAAACCCTTCATAAACATTGCTTGTGTTGAAAAAATAACGTTACTTCCCATGACAACTGAACTGACCCTAAGTATTGCATACACAGTATGCAAGTCACTGACAGCTACAATGAAATAAGTGTAGTCCAGTTTGATCATTGACAATACATGTACATGTAAATCACAATCAGTTTTCTCTAGCTCAATACAGGACCCCCAATATCAACCAGAAAATTTGATACTGTAGTCTGCAGTTGGAATTTTATGTTGAACTTCATAACTCAGGTTTTTCTTTCCTTCCTTTTCCCTCATGACAAACCAACAACTCATTTCTTATTACACATGTAGTTCAGGTTTAATGTACAGAGCAATTTCTTTGCCTGAGTCATGACTGCATTCATGACAAATGTGAACGCAAAATATTGAGTCAGGAAACACTGCTGATATGCATCCAAAAAATAGTTCACACAATTACAATTTTTTTAATGAAAAATACAATACATCTACCTTGAATTTTCTTAGTTTGGATTTGTTTTCATAACACCAAGCTAGACAAGGCCCAATTTCCCTCCTCAATAATGACTCTTCGACTTTCCTTGAGACAAGGAATAATTCAATGTCCACAAATTCCTTGAAAATAATAAAAAAAATTAAACTGATTAAAATATTGAACAAATGCATCAAAATACAACAGCTAATTGAACCCATGAGTACATAATTCAGTGAGTGGCTACATGTACATGTATGTAAAACCAGAGCTCTAATTGACATACATGTATATGACTTGTACCGCTCAGATATATGTTAACCACAAAATGCACATAAAATGCAGCTAAAGTCGCATGCAAGTGCGAATAAAAATATATGTGCATCAAAACTTTGCACATGCACACATAAGCTTAACACATATGCCTCAATAATATGTATGAGCTTGACCTTTCATTTTTTTATAATTGTTGGCCAATGATTGTTTAAAAAAATAGGCTACAATGTATTTTTGCACAGTTAACATAAATCAGAGTGGTACTGTACATGTACCACTAATTCCATGTGCATGTAGCACTGCTAATGTAACAACTGTAAGAACAACACTGATGGCAATCCTCACAACACTTTTCCTTTGTTGTTTATGAAAAATTGTGACCAAATCATACTGTACTTTCTAGTGATCATGTCGTAATGTAAGGTTACAAAATGACACCTTGTGAAAAACAGAGTTTTTAACCTACTTTACAGAACTACATTTAGCTCAATGGAATGGTATTTTTCAATCAACAGTTTTAACTTTTTCTTTATGTAAATGACTTGACTCTTAGTTTCAAACCCACCTCAATTTGTGAATCTTTTGCGAGTTTAATTGCAGTTTCATAATAACCAGATCTAAGACAATGATCCACCAACATTCGATCAAGACGTTTCTTTTTCCACACCAACATAGCACTCTTTCTTCCATTTGCATGCTCTTTGATGTGGTCTAGGCGTGCACGACAGTGCCGTAAGCAAGCTTCTTCTTGGGAAAGACATTCTTCTGACTAAAAGTAAATCAAACATTTTAATTTTCCTATTTGGACAGTGCATTGTAATAACCCTTACAAACACTTCAAATTATGTAATCAAATTATTGTAGTCCAAAGTCTCTGCTTTACACAGTGTTGTTGAGCGAATGTATACAATAAATAATATACCTGTATTCAAATTGATTAATTTTCACAGTGACAGCTACATCTACATTGACATGTACTGTAAAATGAATTTCCATGCATTTCCTTAGGTTTTTTCCCAGGAATTTAGTTTCTTTTCTAATAAAATGTTGATAGTGGTGTATTGCCTCATAGTAATAGGATATACATGAGACTTGACCCTAACAACTGGTAAATATATTTGACCTTACTTGTATGTTTTATTTTGGTCTATACTTGCATGATTGTTACATGTAAATGTTGTTACATGGTTGTTACATGTAAAATTGCAGGTGAGGAGGGCTCAGAGATGGTGTTCAATATTGAATCATTGTAACCTCAGAAAGCACATTGTGCTTTACTGATCATGACCAATCACCAGAAAAAATCCAACAATCATCTCTTACTCATCTGGTGAATTTCACCAGCACAGCAACAACTCTCATGGAGTACAGCTTACCTTTCTTTTCAGTGATTGCAGTTTTTGAACCACTCCATCAAGGAAGCCAGTGATCTCACCCACCTTGACTGGTACCGAGCCCAGACCATTCGTCAAATCATTAGTTGCACTGTGCACAAGTGATACTTCCCTGTCAATTACCTTCTGTGCTGCTCGAAACTTTTTGTTGAGAATCTCATATGGAACCTGAATATAAAAATTATAAAGATGTAAATAATATGCAATTATTGTTCATCTATAATAATGCATGCAAATATAAAAAATTCAGCCAGAATATTTGCTAAGAACATTTCAGAGAGTTGAAACTGTGATAAAGAAGTTTAGAGAGAGACAGAGGAGACATCTGACATGTTGAACAACTTTCATCGAATATTTCTCGTGGAATTTGGAAGAAATTTGCTACCAACTTTTAGTCTTTGAAGGACTAAAAGTTACTTTCTTGGTCTTTAAAAAATAAACTTGCGCCTATTTCTTCTAGATTGCACTCGAATGCTTTTGTCAACCAATACAAATACCATGTAAGGTGTAAGTCTCGCATTGCGAGCTGGCGATCGATGTGTAAGAGCAAATGTAAATACATGTAAGCATGTACTATGGATCACATCATCGACATTACAACATTTGCTGGTGTTTCATTAGAAGAAGGAATTAGAAATTCCCTTTCTTAAACCATACTTTGCACCAGAGTTTTATTAAGCGTTATTTAAGTTGGCAATAGAACGCTTCTGAATTGATAACAAACGCGTCATATCTCGATTACTTCTTTACAACCGTATGTGCAAACGAAGCTCACATAGACAAAAAGCAACGACGTTTCTCGAACGTCTCAAATTTTCTTTGTACGTACCTTTAAGGTGGAGTATTCTAGTGCTTTTATATCTGCCATTGTAACATATCAAAACCTCCAAAATACTGACACAAAAGAAACAAAATACAATATTTTACCGTTTTACGAAAATTAGTCAAGGTTTGCAGCGGTGTGTTGCAAAACTATGCTCGCGCAGCGTGACTCTATTTCTATTACCAGTCCCTCTCAAGAAAGAAAGTCTTAAACGAGATTTTGCTCGGTGTGAACTAAATCAAAATCATTTTCTTAGAGTTTATGATCATGTAAAAATAATTTAAAGATGCGATTGCAAGTGAAAAACTTAAAATATTTACGTGCTGTTTTCCATTTTTTTTAAATCATGTAGGGGCCATCTAGACCTCTCAGAGACCGTTAAATGTTTCCATAGGAAACAAGATGAGGAGTTAAAAATCTCTCAAAATTATGAAGAGGGTAGTATGCTAAGGAAAGGAACCAAACCAAAATGGATTGGCCGGTGGCCACCAAAACCAAAAAAGAAAAGAAAAGAAAATGCTCAGTACTGACCAAACACGTAAAAGAATATATAAAAAAAGGAAGAAAAAGAAGAAAAAAAAAAAAAAAAAAAAAACAAAAACAAACAAACAAAAAAACCAAAGAAAAACAAATTACTCCTTCTCAAATCACTGTTTTTTTTATTTGTGGTGACCCGATTCACGTCATTTCGTACATTCGATCGGGATAAGTTAATTTACACTCGTCTTGGTTACACAATTATAGGTGATGACGCATATTTGCTTGGTTTCAAATAACACATTTTGTGAATATTTCCTCCGACATTCATTAGCCGTAGTCAACTGAACCGACATCAAGAGACGAAAATTAGGGGTTTTTTTGGCAATGGAGACTGTATCGCTTGAGATGTATCCAATGGGAAACATTGAAAGTATGGTTGAACCAAGACCATACATGCAAGACCTTCCTAGTCGTCTGGCTCGCCATTCCGCTTCTACTGTGATGAGGAGTCAGGCCTCTATACCGCGGAAAAGCGTTGGGAAAACACTCCAACGAACTGGCGCTTTGAGAAGAGATGGAAATTTGCAAAGCCAGCAAGACGAAGTTTCGCCAGGGCCTGTGTGCGACCGCCAAATGATCGACTGTGGGTTTTCGGCATTGCCTGAAGAAGTCTTAGAGAGAGTGAATTTCAAAGCCGTGCCTTTACCGATGTCACTCAAACGCCGGTTCAAGGATTCTCTTCGGGCAAGAGCTCCTACGAGAGTTTCGAAAGGGAAAGCTTTTCTGATGAGCGTAACTAAGGCATGGACTCGCTTTCGAATTGCTTCTAAAGAAAGCCTTTATTCTCTGCAGCTTTGGCGTGGACATCTCAAAGAAATTGAAGGGCAGTTCGGCGGCGGTGTAGTCTCGTACTTCGTATTTCTTCGCTGGCTAATGTTGCTAAATTTATTTGTCTTCATGATGGAGTTCGGCTTTGTTTCTCTTCCAACGCTAGTGATGTGTTCTGACACGTCTGCGAATCACGCGAACGGTCACGCAACTAACGTGACAAGCTGTAGATACGACTCTGCTTATTCCGCTTCAAACAAATCGGACAGCGGTATACTGACTGTAGTGTTAGACTTCTTTACGGGGCAAGGTTGGATCAGTAACACAATTATGTTCTACAGTACTTATCCGTCGGATGTTATTATATCCCAGGAGGGGGTGAGATATCTCTTACCGTTAGCTTACCTGATGACTGGGGGCGCGTACTTCCTATTCTGTCTCCTCATCTTAGTAAAGAGTGCATCGAGCGGCCTAAAACAAGGGTATATCGATAGTGAGGGCGTGTTTAACTCATTTTCTAACCGCCTGTTCTCTGCATGGGATTACTGTATTTGTGAACGGAGTGCAGCTATACATAAAAAGCAGATTATCGTTAAGGACTTTTGCTTTGAATTGGAGGAAGAAGAAAGATTGAGACGAATTCTAAACCGTACAAAGAAACAGAAAACGGCCTTATATGGAACTCGGATTATCATTAATCTGTTCATTGTCCCAGCTCTTTGGTACGTGTCATTCGTGCTCGTGTTCGGCGTCATCTTCTCCAAAAAGGTCACTGAAAAAGGAAGGAATCAGTTCGAGCAAATGCTGATTCGATCGTCGTTGTCTTTAGCTATTACAATACCGAACCTTGTCCTTCCACCGTTGTTCGAGTTCTTGTCGGTATTTGAGGACTGGGGCCCAAAATTTGAATTGGGGCTGAACCTTTTGCGGAGAATTTGTGTCAAGCTGCCTTCCATTGCGATGTTAATGATCCTCCTGTATAAGGACCTTGGTGAACGCATCCAGGACGACTCGTTGCCGCTATCAGCGCATTGCGAACAATGTTGGGAAAACGAGGTCGCTGCGCAGATGTACATGCTTGTCTGGGTCGATTTCTTTGTTGTGTTACTAATTACCCTCGGCGTTGAAACGTTTAGAAAGCTTCTTTACAAACACTGCAGCTGTTTCCGCAAAATTGGAATGGCACAGTTCGATATTTCTCGCAATGTCATCGACTTGGCGTACGGGCAGTGTTTGATTCTGATTGGCACGTTTTTCAGCCCCATTCTCCCCGTCATCGGCGTCCTGAAACTAATCGTGTTTTTCTATGTAAAGAAACTGAGCCTGTTTCACAACAATCGACTGCCTGACAAACCCTTCCAAGGCGCGAAGCTGAGTTCTATTTTCGCGCTTCTCCTACTCGTCACGTTTTTAATGTCCACAGGGCTTGTTGGTTGGGGCGTGACAAAAGTGCCGACATCTTACTGCGGACCGTTCAAGAATACGGAATGCAGCAAAGAGAAATTTATCATCGATGAATTATCCTTCGTGGTCTCGCGGTGGCCTGAGTCGATTCATGCGACACTGCGGTTTATGCGCACAGCGGCGTTCCTCCTTCCCGTCATGATGGTGGTATTGAGCCTACTCTACTATTACCGCTCAATGGCTCATGAGCACCAACAAGTGATTAAAACATTGAAGGATTATCTCATCGTTGAGGGACAGTTTAAGAAGAAACTACACTCTCAGTTAATGTCCCAGCCATATAGCGGTATAAATGAGCGGAAGAGATCTGAAAGATACAACGAAGAGGACATATTGTTGGCCTCCCTGTCAGACTGAAAGGGGATTTTACGCTCTAACTGAAAACTCTGAAATACGGAGATTAAAATTGCTTGGCAGCTATAAGCTGTGTTGCTGATGTGGCCGACGTAAAAGGTAGCAGGAAAAAAAAATTATGCGAGCACGACGTTTGGATCTAAGCAGCTCCTACGCAAACCTCAGGGAAGGCGTTTTACATTACTGTAAATCCCTTCAACCCCACTCTCGTTTGTGCGCGGTTATGTCAAACTGAAAACTGTGTTATTCCCAATCAAGACCAGACAAACGATTCTCTAGCCCTTAACTGTTTGTCTCCGTATCTCTCTACGTATGGTTCATTCCATCATTTCTTCTGGCAAAAAAGAGATCATTTATATTACTGATTGCTTTTTAAAAAATTTCAGTTGTAGCTTAGTTGCTGCGGAGCGGGCTGTGTACGAAAGCAAACTATCTAAGACGAATCGAAATGAAAACGACCCATCATATATCTTCCATTTCTGCCTGCATTCTTGGAAAACATCAAATGTGAATAAAGATGGAGTAAATTCTTTGAAGGGCGCTTCCCAACCGGAATATAATTTATGCTTATTCAAACTCGGAAATAATCATAAATGATGTAATCTGTATTATGGCAGCAAAATTTAATTGAAAAGAAGACTTTGATCGTGCGCGATTTGCTATTACAAGTTTATCTGAAGAGGGACACCTTAGTGTATTTCTCTCGGCATCCGCTCTAACCGTTCAAGCTTTACAAGCTTATGTTATGACTAAAAATTTTTTTTCCTCATCTGTGGGGGAGGGAGGGGGATCAATTGTCGCCAAAAGAATTCAGAGGTGACACTCCAGAGAATCGACCGGCACTTGACTGCCCTTAAGGGAGATCATAAGAATTTTGCAGAGCCTTGTGGGGGGAACAAATCCACCCACCTCCTCCACCCCTTGCGATAAAAGGGACGGTATGAAGTCTCTCCCGGACCTTAAAAATTCGGAGTTCATAAGCAATTTTTTAGCTCACAAACCTGCACATTTAAAACTACTTTCCATTATTTGCTTTTGATAACCTATCAAGGCCTCTTAAATTCGCGTGGAGTTTGCTTTGACATTGCATTTTATGGCTGAAGCAAAGAATCGCCCTTAAAACAAACTTTACCTACCATTAGCTGGAAAAAGGTTCACTTGCTCAAGGGACGTGCGGAAGTCATTTAACATTTTGCAGAGCCTTGTGGGGGGAACAAATCCACCCACCTCCTCCACCCCTTGTGATAAAAGGGACTGTATGAAGTCTCTCCCGGACCTTAAAAATTCGGAATTCATAAGCAATTTTTTAGCTCACAAACCTGCACATTTAAAATTACTTTTCATTATTTGCTTTTGATGACCTATAAAGGCCTCTTAAATTCGCGTGGAGTTTGCTATGACATTGCATTTTATGGCTGAAGCAAAGAATCGCCCTTAAAACAAACTTTATCTACCATTAGCTGGAAAAAGGTTCACTTGCTCAAGGGACGTGCGGAAGTTATTTAACACAGCTGACGGAAGGAAGCAAGTGTCACAGCAAAGTGAGGCAACAAAATCATTAAGTTAATTAGAAAAGGAAGGAGGTAATTATTACAGCTATGAAGCCAGCAATTTCCTGAAATAGGATGTAAAGTTTTTTTCAGCTTTCAAGAAATCATAAAAATGCAAATTAAAGGCTTTTACAAGGTTCGTCATATAATGAGGAAAAGTAAACTAAAAAAAGGTTGTTAGATAAAGATGCAATCCTAACGATGTTTTTCTAAAGCTTATAGAAGCTTTTAAACTGAGATCGGTTTTCTTGAAATAAAATAAAAATTTTCTTTTATAATCATATCATATATCCTCATTTGGTTGGAACTTCTAGAGTAAGTATTAAGTAAGATAAAAACCGGCCTTTAATGAGTTAACCGCATGAAAAGAGTATTGTCTATTTGCTCTATCAAAAAAAATAAAAACTTGTCTGTAATTGCTTATTTAACTAATGCACGCTTTTTAGTTAGTTTATTAAAGATACCGCAACATTTATTGAAATTGAAATTATTACTTAATTATTTAGACGTACTCTGTGCTTCACAAGAGCATCTACCTTCAACCGACCTCGGTGGAATAGTGCTGTTGCATCAACGAAGGTTTGAGTATATGTAAAGGCTCTCCATAACGTTGGCGAAATTGTTGTAGATCCTGGTCTGAAATGAATGAATATTGCAGGAGATGACACTTTTCACCAGCTGCCGTATTCTAAGTAGTGAAAAATTAGAGAACCTTTGCTGCAGATAGCGATACTTTATTTCACACTTAATGCTCTGCTATTTCTTGCAGCAATTTTGTTGATTTCTCTCAATCATAGAGCTTCGTTGATGGAATAGAAATAAATTGAATTTTTCTTTCGAATAAAATAAATGATTAAGTGCCATATTCGTTCAATAAGTGCAGTACACCAGCTTTGACTTTTGACAATATTTGGCTTATATACCTCTTTGTATACGTAGTTGCGGTATCCTTCAAGTTAGAGCGTATGAGTGTCTTCATGATGGAGAGACAATTTCTAGCTTTTCTTATCATGAGTGCAGGTGAGACGCGTTCAAAATAGGTGCGTGAGTCTCTAAGGGAATATGTTTTCAATTCAGGCTTTAACGAGTTCGTGCTAATTCAGGTGGGGATGTTTTTCTGACTCCCAAATTGATACAATTCGCTCCTGCGATTGAGGATGGCTTCACTTAACGTAAACATTGGTATTTCTCAAACTTTCTACCAAACCTCACTGGATGGGCTATCATATACCCCCCCTTACATATTGTTATCCTGTTACTTAATCAATTTAAACTTATCTTTTCTGTCACTAAGTCCACAATGTAAAAATAGAATCTTTTCTTTTTGTACCATTCAGTCCTGCAGACATTTGTTCAGGATGTGACGTAAGCATTTCAGAAAGAGAGAAACCTTTTACAGACACGTTAGTCTTAGTATTTTCAGAAAAACTAGACAGAAAAAAATCGAAAACTATTTGTTTTGAATCTTCCAGCGCGCGAGGCCGGCTCGGTTTCAGAAATTTCCGCGGAAGCGGACAATTACAACGATTCGAGCACACTTGCCACTGCCGCCAACAAAAGCCCCTTCTACAACTCTGAGCACAACTGGTAAAATAAGAGCGGGTAATGGTGCTAGAAATACTCAAAGTGTATCTGTTAGTTACAGTTACTCTAAAAAGACATTTTTGTCAAAACGTACACCGTCAGTTGCCAAAGTTCCAAAAAGTACAGCATCAAATGTCGAAACTAAGGCATTTACTCAGGCAGAAGATAATAACACAAGTGCCTTCTATAATACCACACAGTGGCCACCTACAGCGGTCACTGTTGGGAACTCATGCGTCACCAGTGGTAATAGTATGAACACAACCCGACCTACGCCTTCAGAAACAGCGTCAAGTATGGCAATAACCTGGAGTGATAACATCGCCAATGACAGCAGACATGACGAAGTTCCCAACCGCGACAAGACCCAGGTACGGTTGCTTGAACGACAGTGAATTACCAATTATGACTGCAGGTTTTACTTCTTCAGCATTTACGTTACCATTCCGTTATGATAAATCAAGAGAAAGACAAAAGGAAAACGCGACGTGATGTTTGTATCAAGCTACTTATAAGTTTCGATCCATTTTACATTTTTGTTTGTTGTTTATCTTTTTCAGCAGCCGAGTTTAATTTGAAAATGTTAATTCTTGTTTGTTTTACAGAAGTCAGATAGGGTAGGCATTCAAAAGATAGAGGAATTCCTCACGAGTAAAGGTTGCTTTTCAGCGTCGTTTGACGAGGTAATAAAATCATTTAAAGCAAGGGTTGCTGCAAATGTGAACGACAATCTTACCAGTAATTGCAATGAATCTTTCCTGATAGCAAAATGTACAGTATAATAAGAAGTAATATCTCCTCTTCACGGAAGCTTAAAAAAAATATTAATATCTTTTTTGAAAGACAGAGAGCGGAAGAAGTGACATCCATACTAAAAATAAACTTCTAAATAATAGGAATCAGGAGAATTTATTTTCGAGAGCCCTGCAACCACAAAGGAATCCATGAGGCACGAAAAAATTCTGAATACCTTTGAGACGACACTCATGAGCTTCTCTATTACAGCAGATGTAATTTCCTTTGCATTCCTCTCAGTTGTAAGGTATGTAAGTAAGAGCTAATGCGGAGAACCAGAGGCTTAGAAATCGTTGGTGTGTGAAAACGGTGGATTGATAAATATAAAAGGAGGAGGCGGGAGGAGGAGGGAAGAATGAACTTATAATTATATGGATTTGGGTGCAATCCAAGTTTAATAACTAGCTTCATTCACGGAAACTGAAATAAATTCTTGCGAAGACGGATGAGCTATCAAGCTTGGAATAAAATGTTACTTATTAATTTTTGGCTCTTTCTCCTTTTTCGAGGAAGCTAGTGTGTCTTCGAGAATTAAATGGTTTCCATCCTTGGATTTAGAAAAATATTATAAGAATGTTTTGCTGACGTTTGTTTCAAATGTGGTAGAGTTTTAAAGTCGGAGCGGATTTTCGTGCACAAGAATCTGCTCATATCGCTGGCTTTTGGACATACAGTTTACATTCTTGACATAAATATCTTCCCATCAAGGAACATGCACCATGTAAGTACAAAAATTAGATAATAGAAATTAAAAATGGTGGCTAACTGTGACCTGCGATTACTAACTGTCTTGCAACTTATTTTTCTTGTGGTGCGGTGCTTATGTATATGTAGTTTATAGGGAGTAACACAGTGGTTTTCAAGTTGACTGCTGAATCATAAATCCAGTGATGCACAACTTAAAACATTTTCTTCATTACAATTTTTCAAAACGAGACAGCAAAGAAGGATTTCATGAGCGTTAAAATTTAAGGCTAAGATAAGGAAAGTTGTATTTGGGAGAGCGGTTAATAACTCGGTGGGCTCCTCTACTACCATTTCGAAAATACAGCTGCTTCTAAAGATGAATTTGGTGCTGTTCTGTCTTCCTTAATTGAACCAAGGCGAATTTTACAAACAATAGGTAGGATTTAGCTCGTTCACGATACTCGGAAAATTTGGCACTGACAGGGAATCTTCACCAAAGCATTTCTGTAGCGTCATCTCTTGAACCTTACGTAGACTTCCATTTTCTTTTCACCAAACAAAATATAATCTAAAGATGTTTAGTTCGTATGGCTTTAGCAATAAACTGTTGCATTTAACTGTAGGTTTTTAATCTAATTGTTTGGACCGGTTCTCCTTTTCAGACCATATGCTCTGTTATTGCTGCCGTCCAGCACTATCTCTACACTTCTCTTTACACTTGGATGTTGATTGAAGGAATAAACCTTTACTTGAAGATAGTGAAGGTTTTCTCTTTTGGAAATTCATATGCAACATACAGCTTGACTGGATGGGGTAAAATAATGAATAAATTATGAAGAGGAGAATTGCTTGTCATTGCTAAGTTATAATCTGTAAAAATACTTCTGTTGGTTTTTCCGTAAAGTTATTGGCTTAAGGAATGCAGTCGTGCTCGTCATTCTTTATCCGTCAGCTTCACTGAATCGAGTTGTTCACCCTATTTGGTGCGTAAAAACTGCTGTGTTATTAAAGTGGGTTTTCTCCTAAATATATAGGAGTACCAGGGGTCATTGTTGGCTTCGTGGCAGTAATCCAACCTTCAACATATGAAATGAGTACAATGTTGTATAAAGAAATCATGTGCGGAACACTGAAACTCACGGGAACAGTGAATAGAGAAAGGTATCTTATTTCACTGAAGTACCAACTAGAAACTAGATAAAAGCTTAAAAATACGTTAAGTATATGGTGAATCGACGTAATAATCTATGACATACATAAATCAAAAATTATTTGTGCGCTTTCACTAAGGCCGGATACGCAACGATGTTCGATACTGTACTTTGCGGTTTCGTCAGGCGAAAAACTTTGACATTCAAATGACAGAGAATCTTGGGAAAGAAATTATTCGTTGCAGCGGACAAATACTAGGGACCTTAAGCAAACCACGACGGCGACGGCAACGAGGATATGGAAAGACAAAAGATCTAATTGGCTCAGCACGTACGTTTCAAAACTTAGTACCTTTCTTAGTCGTCCTCTGCAAAACAACAATGTGAAATCACCACAATTTGCGTCGTCTGCGAACCGAAACCGCGACGACAAATTATTTTAATTCCATTTTCAACTCAACGCTTCTCTTTTATGCGTTATGCTGAAGTTGATGTGTGGCGCCGTATGTGACGGTAAACAAATGCAGCTATTTTTTAAGTTCTAATTAAAGGCAGAAATTCATTTTTTAATCGAAGTCTTCCTTGACGTTGCCGTCCTAACTGCTTAAGGTCTCTAATGAAATATGACAAACGTGTAACTTGAAAGGATGTTTTGTAGATGACCGCATGCCATGCCATAGAATAGAAGCGATATATCTTTGAGGAATTACTGTGAACTACTTTTACTTTGTAAAAAGGTTTGCAGGCCTCTAAATGCACATTCGAACCGAATACAAAGATCCTCATACAACTTTTTTCTAATTTAACTTCGGTGTTTGCATAAACTGATGATTTTAATTTTGATGGTTTCAGATGTTGGCTCAACGGAAGTGTCTGGAAATTCAAAGGACCCGTGCTGGCCATGCTTCTGGTAAATTTGAAGTCATTATTGCTCTTAATTCAATCAATATACAGTTCTCCAAAAGCGTTTCAGCTTAATTTCGGGTGCTTTTTTTTTCGTTTTTTTTTTCTTCCTATTTTAACTTTCTGTGTTGAAGACCTATTCCCTAAAATTCATTTTAACCAACATCTAGAGACGTCCAAAATTTGTTTAAAAGTCTTCTCTGGTCTGTTTTCCGCCTGTCAGTTTCTTTGCCTTGTATCCACCGTAGAACAATTGCTTAAGAAATATTGAAAGTTGTCTTTAGAAGTTAAGAAAAAACTATTTCAGGGGAGACGTTACAGATAAGTAGTGGATTCCTCCTAGCCGCAGGATTTTTCAAATTAGTTTCGAAAAAATTTTAAAGAAATTAAAATTTTTTAATGGTCACTTTTCATTATCCTTTTGTCTCCGAATCAACTGCGTCTGAAATTTTAAAATAATCTTCAATTTTCACTCAAACAATACTCAAAGATAACTTTATCTATTGGGCCTTAGGATTCACCAAGTCGCTTTGAAGTAAATTGCATTTCTTGCTAGTAAATCTGTTAGAAAGCACTAACGTAGCCTATTAAAACCTAATATCAGGCCGTAATTTTGCCCAAAAATAAGGTTAGTGTACATTTTAAAAGCGGAGTTTTTGCGTCTGAATTTAAACTAACGCTACTTCTTCAAATCTCTAATGCTATTCTCTTCATTGGGGAAGCCAAAATCCTTTAAACCTGATATTCCATCAGAGTATTTTGAGGAAATAGTGGGCAACACTCCCCTTGAACTCGATCCTTCCCATGTTAAAGTTTAGCATGTTGTCATGACTTCTTTTTTTGTCTCCATCTCAGGCAAATCTTGCGGTCTTTGCTGTTGTTCTGCGCGTGAGCTTTGGCCGAATTGGACGCAGGAATTATGCGCAGACCACCAGGTAAATATAGGTAGACTACTTTAAGCGTATATCTACAATCTTAAACAAGGTGGAGGGTACAAATCTTCTCCACGGCGTCTTGTGCGAAAACCTGTGTCAAAAAGAGAAAAAGGAACGAAAAGCAAAAGCGTTATTGAATTAATACCATGTATAAAATAACATATTCTCTTCTTGTAACTAAGAAGGTTTTAATTAGATTTTGATTGATTTATCGTCATAGGCTCCTTCTTCTCTCTCTCTCTTTTTTTTTTTTTTTTTTTTTTTCAGGAAAGGACTAAAAGCAATTTTCGCTTTGCTTCCATTGCTGGGTGTGACGTTTTTGCTGGGCTTCTTTGTTGATTTTCACGTTACTTTGGAATATGCCTTTGTTTTATTGAATTCCATTCAGGTAAATTATTACGTGACGCAATCAAAGGATATTGTTGTTGTTATTGTCGCTTTTCGAGTTACTTCTTAATCAGGAAAATGGAAGAAAAGCAAAATAAAGTAGACAAACCATTCTACGATTGTAGAGTTACAACATAAGTGCGTCTCAATGAGGTTATGGCTTTTACGGCTCACTGTTAAAATTTTTGCTTTTTTACGGCTGACGGTTAATTTCTTTCGAATTCCGTTTCGATTAAAGTACAGATTTTTTTGGTCAACTTTAGTTAAGCTAACGTGTAACAATATTTTTGGGTTAAAAAAGCTTCTTTTAATATTCCAACATAAACCGAGTAGTTACATGTTCGAAAACCACGAATTAACTGACAACCCCGAATGCGCATATATTAGAGCATTAGTAGCGCGCTCATTGGGATCAGTTCATGCGCACGTGCTTCTATAGATGACCTGGTAATTTATACCTGCATACTACCAACACTATTTCGTCGCATGACGGTTAATTTTTCTAAATTTCCGCCGGTTAACCCCTTTCAAACCCTCACATAGCGGAAATTGTGCGTAATATTGGGCAATCTTGCATTTCCAATTCACTGTAAACTGCATTCTCTTTCAAATCCTAGGGTGTGCTGTTCTTTATCTGTCACTGCGCATTTGATGATCAGGTGAGTATAAGTCCTGATTTCATTTTAGGACATTTTGATTCATCTATTTGTTTGTTTTTTTTTCTTTCGGTTGGAAAATGATTGACGTTTTGCATTCTGATGATCGAGAGAACGGCGCGTGTATTTCGCACCAATCGCCGAACGAAGTAGTTCAGCGCCAATACAGTCCCGGAATTACTTTAGAATCTCAACGGAGAGAGACCTTGAAAGGCTACAGATAGAAATGTAATAACGCTTTGCTTGGCCTTTTAGTCAACTTGGAGCACATTTTAAGGATTGAAGATTCTCATTAATCAACCCTTATTCAAATTATGAATGGCACCAATGAAAGTTATTCGGCTTGCTTTAAGATTATCTCCGTTAACAGAAAAAAATATATTTAACTCAGCAAATAAATATGTCAATTTTTCTTTTAAAGCTTTCCTAAACGTTTCAATTTTTTGAAAACTAAATGTATAGTTGTGGGATTCTCAATTTCTATGCAATCAAGTCTTTAATAAAAATTTCAAATTTGGCATTTTCCCCGATTGTCAATATAGTTTAAAAATGATCGATGCAAGAGAGAAACAATCAATTATCATCATTTTGGATGATGTTTTTTAGGTTCGCGATGCCATGAGTAAAATGTTACGTAAAAAAAGGCGGGTTCACAGTCTCCAGAAATTCAAGCAAGAGTCCAAAATGGTGACGGAAATGGCTCACAAAACCAAAAATCTTTACTTTGTTGCCTGCGATAAATCAGGTATTTACTTTGATTCAGAATCTTCATACTCCTTGCTAGTTTTATCAAAAGTAAAGTTGTTGTAAAATGATATATGATCTAACGTCTAAGATTCTAGCAACTCTTTTTCTTCGTGCACTCGTTAATTATTCAATTGCAAATAGAAATTAATAAAATAGCTACATATATATTTACTCATCGGTTTACATTAAGATTTTTCCATTCTCGTTAACCAACCGTATTTTCGCAAAAAACAGGGTAAAGGTTGTCGCACGAGCTTATGAATTTTATGGCGATATCAATTAGTTATTGATTTAAATATCTCTTAAATCCTCTAAGCCTGAAAAAAGCAAAAAAGGAGGAGGACCAATGATGAAGCTAGCAACTGCCCCTAAACAGAGGAAAATAAGCCTTGTACTACAGCAATGAATGGAATTGTTCTGACTGAAAGCGATTATCATTCAACTTTGTAATATGACTTTCCCAAAGTGGAGAAAATACGTGGTAGCATCTATAATATAGCGAAAAACTAAGAACGTGTAGGAAAGCAATCAAACATTCTTGTAAAATATATTCTGCCATTTTTTAAATTTGCTGAAATAGATTTAGCAATGAAAATAAAATGGTGAAAATCCTTTTGATATATCGCATCTATTTTTGTCGTGTTTTTCAACGTCAGGAAAACAACGCAACATTCTATTGTAACAAATCAAAAGATCTAGACTGTCTTCGGAGACACTTCACATGGATGTACATCATCCATAAGGGCGGAAAGGAGGAAGTAAAGAGAGTAGGGTATAAGGGGAAATAAAGGAAATGAAAATAGGGACACTAGTTTAGTTTACACTCTTAACGGCTAGATAACCTCATGAACCTATCGTTGAGGGAAAGAGGAATTTGTTTCACAAATAGAGGAGCCTTGACTGTGCTCTGTTCTGTCGTAAAGCACGCAGGAAGCGGCTAGAGCAAGAAAGAAGTTTAGCGAGAAACACGAGATGTTGTAGAAAAAAAAAGCTAAAGAGACCCTCTACCATTCTGATTGTTTTTGCAGATTTAAAAGTAAGAAAGACAAGGAACAATATTAAGGGAAAATCTTGCCAATTGCATTCCATGATGCTTATCTAACTTTTTACCGGGTACCATTTATATTCCGGGACGTAGAGAGGCTTTGTGAGGATAAAGTCTTTGCCAAAGAACACAACACAGTGAATCGTACATGGCCCTGTTTTTTTCCCCCGGATTTGTATTTCTTATCAAATATAAAAAAAGAAAAAAAGCGGCTAATTCAAATTGCATGGACTTAAAAGATCCGCTTACGATTGCATTGAGTGGAAGGATACCTCATGCAAACTATGGCCGGCTGGAATTATCCATAACTGGGTGTATCATCGAATTATTGGAATGGATTCCTTAACAATATCGTCTATTCACAAACCTAATTAATAACTTAAAATTGTCCCTTAAAGTTCACTTTCAGGTATCACTTTCTGGGTTCATTCTCTCCGTTCAACCAGCAATGAGATTCCATTTTCGTTCTGGAAGACAGTTTTTAGTCTTGTCATTGTCGTTGACCGACAAAAAAAAAATAATGAAAAATATGCCTAAAGTTAAACTACAGTCCTCTTTAAAAAAAATTGTGGCGAACGAATTTTCATTTCAAAAAGTTTTTGATTCAAACAACTCTAATTGAATAGATCTTTAAAAACAAAAACAATTACAAATCCAAATTGTTAAATGGGACTTAAAATTAAGTAAAATAATTGCATTTTTAGACTGGTGTACTGTAAGGTAAGATTCTATTCTTTTTCTTGACCGCAATACAATTACTTGGCTGTCCGGTAATCAAATTGTAAGGCCATCGTTCACAAAAGTTCTCTTATAGATTTACACTGTCCGTAAGTGTCTTTCTATTTCACCGAAAACTCCAGGGATGTATTACAAAATTGTAATTTGCCATGTGATGACTAGAAAGAGATCCGGCGAGTAACATCTATTACTATCTACCTGAGGTGAACAACTGGTAGTGTATTCCCTCTTTGGAATTTCAAAAGGAAAGGAGCCAAACGTTTTTCAATGTGAAAGGAATTGTCAGCCAGCCCGTTGACCCAAAAAATTAACCTTTTTCGTGATGGTTCGCAGACTCGTTCTCAGAGAATGAGAACAATAAAAACAAACACAAAAACCTTGAAACAAAACGTTAAAGAACAAACATTAAGGAGCAGAGAGGGGAAAACACCAACAGCAAAACAAGAAAACAGCAACAACAAAAAACAAAAACAAACAGACAACTAATATCTCACTAACACTAACAAAACGTATCAAGTTGAACCAGTTTGAACTAAATGAAAATCGGAAACAGAGAAATGAAAAACTGAGAGGTTACTAACTTGTATTTGATTCAATTTGCTATATTTGAAGTCGACAGACATCGGTTTAAGCAGCTTCTTAAGAGAAAAAAATTTCAAATATGTTTCAAAAAATCGTTTTATAACATGTTTAAGCTATGGTGTGAATGGAGTATGTAAAAAATCAAAAGCGATTCTGAAAGAGTAAGTGATATCTCTCGGGTGATTCGCCTTCTTAATTTTCTGAGTGTCCTGAATCGCACACTAGGCATCATACTAATAATCATCAACTTCATCGTTATCATATTCACTCAGTCAGGGATTATTGAAAAAAACTTCCTCTCGCCAGTAGGTGCAACTGGGAGAATAATTCTCATAATCTTCATCATCACCCTCAGGATAACTGGCGCAGTGGTCGTTTAGTTCAAAGTTGTACTCATTATCATTTTTGTCTAGAAAATTGTCCTGATTGTAATTATCAAAAGATCTTAAAAAATCTCACTCCTACTCTTCATTACTATCGTTGTCGTCGTTACTATTGGGAAAATATCTTTCGTCGTTGTCTGGAAAAATGTCCTAGTCATAATGACAATTATACTCTTAATAGAAACCTCCCAAGTGTTCCTCGTTACTTGCGTTGTCATCTTCGCTGTTCTTGGGAAGTAATTTCCATAATCATTGTCTGAAAAGTGGTCCTAATAATCATCAAAATCATTCTCTCGGTAAGAATCTCCATCGTCTTCGTCATTACTGTCGTTGTCATTGTCCGTGTTGTTAGGGGAATAATCTCCATAATCGTTATATGGAAAGCTGTCTTGATAGTCATCATGGTCAATCTCTCGGTAAGAATCTCCATCGTCTTCGTCATTACTGTCGTTGTCATTGTCCGTGTTGTTAGGGGAATAATCTTCATAATCATTATATGGAAAGCTGTCTTGATAGTCATCATGGTCAATCTCTCGGTAAGAATCTCCATCGTCTTCGTCATTACTGTCGTTGTCATTGTCCGTGTTGTTAGGGGAATAATCTTCATAATCATTATATGGAAAGCTGTCTTGATAGTCATCATGGTCAATCTCTCGGTAAGAATCTCCATCGTCTTCGTCATTACTGTCGTTGTCATTGTCCGTGTTGTTAGGGGAATAATCTTCATAATCATTATATAGAAAGCTGTCTTGATAGTCATAATAGTCAACTAGATCTCCGCAAGAATCTCCATCGTCTTCGTCATTACTGTCGTTGTCATCGTCCCAGTTGTTGGGGGAATAATCTTCATAATCGTTGTCTGGGAAGTGATCCTGGCCGAAATCATAATCATTCTCGTCAGAATCTAGAGTAGTGTCTGCGGCTTCCTTCTTTCTTTTCTTCGACTCTCCTTTTTCATCCTGTTGTATCACAAAAAATGAAATAAAATCAATTATTTGAAAAATTTGAGCACAAAAAATAGAATAGTCACATCTTGTATGTTACGGATTAAAAGAAAACAGATAAAGTGGTGAAATTTGCATTGGAGATCCGAAACTGTTAAAGCATCTCGAAATGAGAACAGCAACTAAATAATGGTAAACCCAGAACCGGCGTCACTTTGACAAAACGCCCACTTGGATTAAAATAAATATAATAAATTCTATCGAGAGTAATTTTGCTTTATCATATAAACTACGGTGTTATACAAGGATTTCCAGCCCTGAGAGGCGCCGTAACAACACACGTGAGAAAATTCTTATTTTTCCACGTGTGTTTGATACCGCCAATCAGTTGCTGACACGTCACTCGCCTTTCGCGCCACTCTGTCAGGCTGGTGAATGAACGGCAAAGCCTTCACCATTCTCGATCCAAGGTCATTTGTCGGAATTTTTCGGATTATGGCTGCTAAAACACTAAAAAATCTGTATCGCCTGCAGACAGCGACGTTCAAACTATCCTTAAACTAGAAGAAAACCAAAGTACGGAAAGAAAAACCGAAAGTTACGTATTCAGAGGCTTTGGTAATAGTATTTCTCGCGGCTGAGAATGCAAATCGATAGCTGGAAAAATTGTTCACAGGCTGATTTGGGCCGTGTACCTGAAAGATTTCTTCTGTCGGTAAGGATCAAGTCAAAAACTGAGAATTTTGTGTTTTGAAAACTACGCTCATTGTTTGTTTTTGCAGTTTTTTAGCGCATTTTTTAATCTCGAGCCTCGGCGTTGACGCACTGTCAGGGGATTGTCGATCCTTTAATTTTTATTCATTAATAAAGTTGACTTTTCTCGTCAGCAAAGGGCTATTTTGTTTGTGTGATTAACAAAATAATACATGGTTTCTTGTAGATACGAAATTTCTCTTCTCGTGTTCAACTCGACATCTCACTCGTGAGCTGTAGATTTAAACAATCGAAGAGAAATTTCATATCTACGCGCTCCTATGTATTATTCTCTAGTTATCAACTGAGTCGACAACGTAAATTGACCACCGTAAATAGTTTCAAAGCTGACCTTTCGAGCCCTTCGTCAGAGCGATGACGAAGGACTAACGCTCGAAACATCAGCTTTGAAGATCTTTACGGTGGCTAATTTACGTTCTCAACTCAGTTGATAATTCTAAATTACCCTGTTATACTCTCTCACCGATGCAGCAATAGTCTCTTTAGAAACTTACCCCCTAAATTTTATAGAGCCAGCTGGGCCTATCACGTGATTAAAGCAAGGGGGCAGGATTACGGGGTGAACACGTTTTTCCTTGAATCATACACAAGGATTGTTTACATTTGACCAACTGACGCGGTTTGTCACGTGACACCACGTAAGACCCACATGAAACGCGGTAAAGATAAATCCAGCAATAAACCACGGGGTCACCCATATGTTTTTTAGTCAGAAGTAATTAAACAATGAAGGCGACGTGCTGGTGAATAATAGTGCAGTTGAAAAAAAAAAGAAGACAATTTCAAAGACAAAGTGTCAAAGCTACGAAGCTCAAAGAATTGGCGATCAGAAAGAACGAGACCATCTTGAGCTTCCTTTTACTATCATTTAAGAGATTTTGATTGAGATAAGGAAAACTCGAGGGTGGGGGACTGAGGGCTCATGTGTGAGATAGGGGATGGAGCTTTATAGTTGCCCACTATTCAAGACTGGGGTTTATATGAGTGTTGACGATAATGATCACCTTCATGATCCGCCAATACTACAAAATAACACAAAGGTTACTTACAAGATAATCGTTAACGATGGCCAAGCTTTGGATTTTTTTGCAGGCTTTCGCCACATTGTCAACTTCCTCCCCACTCATCTCTACGTTCTCCATGTTAAGTCGCTTCAGCTTTGTTTTTTCAGAAAGATTCCAGACGAGAACACTGACTCCTTGGGCTAATGGATTGGACCCAACGGACAGTGTTGTAAGGTTTTGAAGGAACATAAGAGAGCTACCAAGTGCTGTGGCCTCCTCTGCACCCATTTTTGTGTCAGTCATGTTGAGATCAGCGAGGGAGGTTGCTTTGCAAAGATTATCAGCAATCACAGCAACTGCGCTTCCCAGTGGATTGTGAGATATGTCCAGCACCTCTAGCCGTGCAAGAGATTGTAAGCAGTCAGAGAGAGCCCTTCCTCCATCTTCGTCCATGTGGGTTTCTCTCAGCTCCAATCGAGTTAATCGAGGAACATATTCCAAGTTGTCTGCCAAATCTAAGATCGAGGTCCCGAGTCGATTTCGAGACACAGAAAGAACTTCCAAGCCAGGAACATGACGCAAAGAATCGGCAAGATCTGAGAAGGCTGCGTGTTCCATGAAAATATCTGACAATTCCAAGATAGTCAGCTGCTGCACATGACGAAGATTTGCTGCCAGGCACCTCACGCTACTTCCCAATGGGTTTTCTGACAAGACTAATTCTTGCAAGTTACAAGCGTTCTGTAAGGCGTTTGCTAGCACAGGCAGAGATTTCTCTGTCAAGCATATTTTGTGTAGTTTCAAGCGTGTAAGACACTCTGTCATGTTCATTCCTAACACCACACGTCCTGTCTCTTGAGATACGGAAGATTCTTTAAGGCTTCGTAAAACTATCTCTCTTGGTCTGCTAAGAAGAGGCAAAACATTAGAAATGATGTGAATGACGTCGCCTTCTAAATTCTCAATGTCAATTTTCTTTGCAAGTGAAAAACAGTGCTGACGAGTTTGCCAATCCATCTTGGCTGCCCTGTCACCGACCTTTACATCTTCATGATTTGCACGGGTGTGAGAAAACGTAGCTGGCGCTGGCATCGCAAGCTCCCGTAGCGTTCCGACATCAACGTTGGCAATCTGAGAGAAGTAGAGATACATCTTATCTTCTGAGCGTTTCAATAAGAGAGAGGCCAATATATCAGTTTTTCCTTGTCTTCTTACAAAGTCAGAAGCCTTCGTTTCTCCTCTTGAACTTACAATTACCGCGTTAAGATCGTCCATGATGGAGGAAATGTGATCGCGGTCTTTAGGAGAAGGACGCCTGTGAAAATCAAATAGTACACTCTCAGGCAGGACTTCGGACTTCACAAAATGCCCGTTGGCTACATGAGGCAGGAGTGTGTCTGGTATTATCAAAACGCCTGTGAGAGATTTCAACAACGACGGGTACACTTCGCCCTTAAATTGAGAAGGTGTAGTGATAAAACACTCAAGGCTCAACTTTGATAATCTTTTGTCATCACTCGGCAAATCCTTCAAGAATGGTGTTTCTGTTTGAACGTCTTTGGGAGGATTTTGGTTTGTCCTCAAAGATGCCAGATGCTGCTGTACAGCTTTCGACCCTTCCGGTGACCATTCGCAGACAAACTTGAGGACTTCGAGCAAGTCGACAATTTTTCTGGTTGAATTTATGGTGGGTATGCAAGTGACATTGTCTTTAGTGGACGGAAGTATCTTGTGAATAATGAACCAGGCTGCTAAGAATTCTTGAATGGATTTGTGAAGGAAGGCAACCATCTTCTTTGGCTTTGCACTAAAGAGCTTTACAATCTGAATTACGCCAACACGGATCAACTTACTACTCAGAAGCTCGTTAGGAAAATGTTCATAATCAAACTCGAGAGAATTGTTCAGTAAAGCATTAAATGCCAGTTCCCCTACTTGTTCAAGATCGCCACCGTAGCCCTTGATGCTCTTAACTTCTTCATCAGCGTCTTTTGCGGCCATGTGATTTAAAAGGGTTTGAATGAAATCGCTGTAAAGATGCACTTTTGCCTCTGGTAACCCTTCGCGATCTTTCTCCTTCCAGACTAAACAAAGCATCAGCAAAAGCAGGGGAATTTCCGCAATCTCCTTCAGTTTGTGGATCTTAATGTAATCAAGAAACTTCTGAACTTCTTGCTCATCTTCTAAAAACTTCATTGAAAACTCTTTGATCTGGGCATGGTCAAATCCTTTTATCTGAAATTGGGCGCTGCTGTATCGCTTTACATCATCCTCTCTTATTGGCCTCGTTGTCAAAATCACATAGCAGTCTCGGAGCTCATCCCCCATCCATACGCGGCTAACAACTGGAGTCTCCTCACCTGCACTATACTCGTCAAAACCATCCAAAACCAACAAAACTTTATCTTTGTGCTCAAGAATGTACCTAATGAGAGCCTCGACGAGCTTCTGGTCTTCAGCGGGAAATAGTTTTGCTTCAATTAACATGTTCTGGAAGGTTTTACTGTAGCAGACGTTTCGTAACGGAATCATGAGCAGCAGATCAAACTTCTTTAGGTTTTCCTTTTTACCTCTTGCCCAGTCAATGGCGATTTTTTTGGCAAAGGTGGATTTTCCGATCCCTGGTATACCGTAAACAAGGATTCTGTTGCTTTTAAGCTCTTTCAGAATGTCGGAATAATCATCAAGTTTTTCTTGTTTCTTTCCACTTGGCTTCTTTTTGTCCCTGACCCAAAAGAGCTCTGTGTAGATTTCGTCGATTTGTACAGTGTTGTCAGGATCCCAAGGGGTGACTCTGACTTGGCATAAGTTGTTATACAGCTTCTCTAGACGATCTCTAAAGTCTACAAAGGATGAAAGTATCCAGATTGAAATTAACATCATTAACTAATTATTATTGGCAAAGTGATTATAGCTTGGGAGCTAAATTTCAACATGGCTGCCGCGTGTTTCATGGAGTAGAGTGATTTAGCCAGAGGACTCAAAAGGACGGGAGCGCCATTTCAGAACGGGAAAGCGCGCGGACAGTCTGGATACGTCTCTATCCAGCATAAATGTGGCGGTAAATTATCACAAATACACGGAATAAAACAAAGAAAGGGACCTAGTTATCTTGGAAGTGGGTTCTGAAATCATTTCAGTGAGCATTTTCTCGTTTATAAGAGCACAATTTACGCAGGCGGAGGCGTTTTGATCGCGACGGGAAAACCAGCGACACGACGTCCTGAACTTGTTGAGGAGAACGGGAACGCCAACACCGGAAGTCGAAATAGAGTCGTGTCCGGATTATCAGTGCGCTTTCCCGTTCTGAAATAACGGGAATAGAGGCGATAAGAAAAAGTACAGTTCTAACGAGCGCAAAAGATGCTACTACGTTTGGCGTAACTCTTTCAAAAGGAAAAATATGAATTTTTTTTCATTCCAACTACGGCAAATACTTGTTAAATATTATAAAATTTTAGTTTGGTTGGACCTAATCTGCAGTGCAGCAGGCAGGTATTACGCGTAGCTTCTCAGTCCAGAATAATTAAAATCAAACTATCCCAGGTTGAATGATAAAGTTTTAAAACCAGAAAAAAGTTCTTACCTGTTAGACAAAGATCTTCCGCAGGGAGTGCCAAAGGTAACGTCATTTCTAGTTTCTCGTCTATCTTTTGTATTTTGCAATTCAAGGTCCCCAGTTGTTCCTTAATCTCACTAAGTTCCTCTGTGACACTTTCTTCATATTCCTTCCATTCTGTGAGGAGCTGTTGATAGACTTTTTCCTTCTCAGGGTCTATTCCCTCAGTTTTAAGGTTATCGATAATCGTCTCGTACTTTATTCCTCCGAGTCTCACCAGGGGGTCCTTAATATTCATCCAATGTGCATTGAATTGTGCTTCATCAACAGAAGCACGGTTGACGTGGGCGTAGACTTCGTTCCTGTAAATCTTGATACGGGTGATATCGGCTGCCTCTGTCATATCTGATGCGGATGGAGGAGTGTTCCAGCCAGTTACCGGAGCGGAAAGGCCACATATATTCCTAAGAAGGACAGCTATCAGGGTAATGTCAAAATCCATCGATGACACTGACGATGAGGTCAGTTTCGTCCACTGTGCATGGTTAAGAACTCGCTTCTTTTTTAATGAAGTCAGCGTGGAACTTACAGAAGGACTTTTTAAAACTGTGCTGAGGCTTCCTGGAGGGCGCAGTTTCTCGAATACATCTCTGAGTACTTGTGAACCCACATCCACCAGCAGGCGACACAACCGAGCGTAGTTAGTTGTCTCTTTGCTGGAAGCAGAGATTGTCGCCATTACGAGGGAAGGAATCCTACGATAAACACAAATATTGTCTCATCATTTAAAAGTTGCCACAAAAATCTAATTGGCCTTTTTGTTTCTTATTTGCTTTTGGTGATAGTTATGAGAGGGGATACTACATTACTCTGTAGCTGAGCCACTCTTCTGTGCAGAACTTTCCACGCGATAGGATTTTCATAAGAGAGAACGGGCAACGACAACTTCTGCCAACGTCGTAAATTCGAGATTTCTTAGGAATAAAAATTTTATGAGAACTTACATTTGGGAGCAGATCGCATGCGAACATGGACAACTCTGACTCGGAACAACCTTCTTAGAAAGTATTCATTAAAAATTTTTCATACATGTCAGCATTTCATAGGCACTGAAGCTATTGGAAAGGTTACTTTGTTGAGATATTAGCTTTTCAGTAATCGATCTTGATTAGCGAATACCACGTCAGGCTCAAAGTTAAAAATTATCGTTAAAAAAGTTCGTCGAAGATCGATGGCAAGTTGCGAACCAATCAGTTCTTTGCTTTTAGCTGTTCGTAAAGAATGCGACGCTGCTTATTCCCGGAAAAATAAAAAAAAATGGCACCATGTTGGTCCTGTTTGTTCGAGAGGCGGCTATCCATTGGACAAATATCTATCCAGTGGATAGCGAAGTAGGTTTTGTAAACAATTACCCCTTCCTTTTTAGTTCATTTTTTCCGTTTAATCCAATTGAATTGACTGCTTCTCACAGGATTGACTGCATTTCCTAAAAGCCTTTTATTCGTGACCAACATTTGTTTATATGAAATGAAGAAAAGAAATGTGTGTTCTGAATTAACATTTTACTTCACGACAAAAATCTTAAATCTTGATCAAGTTGTATGTCATGCACATCCTGTGGATACAAATATTTAACCTACTTTAAAAAATTGTGATTTGTTGTGAGTCTTTCTACTTCAATCACCAGTATTCTGTCGTTTAGAATTAGCAGTTCTCCGTAGCAATAAAATCTACCCCAAACGAGATGCCTATAACATTTCATAGAAAAAAAATATATAACAAACTGTTACGCTCATCTCAATTAACACATAATTTACGCATATACAGAAACGTTTTAACGGCATCGAAATCCGAAAAAGATTTATTTTTAACGAGAAAAATCTAGGAAGTGCCTTGGAATGTCTTAATGTTCCCTAAGCAGCCGGTGAGAGACAAGTTCTAATTAATAGCCTGGGCAATGAAACACAGGAATGAAACATACAGAAGACAATGACTTTGCCATTCATCGCCTAAAAAACCCTTCCACCGGGTCATCGCCCGATTAACATCTCAAAATGTTCGCATTCCTCAGGTTACTTCTTGTCGTATCGTTTGGAATGTTTAATACAGTCGTGGTGTTAAGGGTAAAGAAGTTACCTTATCGATTTTGTTTCGCCTAGAAAGTTTTCAAATGATAACGAACGGCGAGCGTCTATCTCTTTCTCTCTTTTGTTAATTATCACAGGATTTACTCCTTTTTTTTACTTAAAATCGCGCTTTGTCGAAGATGTGTTGTTTTACCCTAAGAGCGAAGTAATAGGCTTTCCCAAAATTGAAGTAAGTAAGATTGAGTCAGCGATGTTCATGATTACATTAAGTCTGACGCGGTAATTTGATTTTGATAATATTGTCATGTGAGAACCCGTGAAATATCAATGTGAAAACACAGATGAGTGTTGATATTGTTTCATTGTTCCGCCTCGAGACACGCGGTTAACCATACTCACGAGCAAGGAGTTAAGATATAAGTTATTAAATTTTACTATTTTTATCATCCAATCACAGGTCGGAGCCATTCCTGTATTTAGTCGCTAGTCTACTGCGGAATGAGTAAATTTCATTGTTTGGTCATGGTACCTTTCAGCACTATCTTTTCATGCTTTCTACTCGATTCGTTCGAACTTCAGGAAATAGTTTGTCTCACAAAATATAGAGCCACATTCTCTTCGCTAAACATGTCAAGGCATACTTACTGCTCGGGCTATGAAGAACATACTTGCGATACGATATTTTTTCATATGTCCATTCCTTTAATTTCCTCCTTAACCTGCCTGCAAATAATTAAATTTTATGTTTATTTTATAAAACAGAAGTGTTGCAGAGTTTTCTTTCCAGATTGAATTCAGGTGAGAACATCAGTAAACTAGTTAATGTCATATACTTTTCCTGAATCTTTAATCTTATCGCCCCGGTTTTTTTCCCAAAGCCTCTTTTATATCTCTGTGTGCCAGCTAATGATTAAGATCTCAGTAAATAGATATGACATATTTTAGTGGTTTTTTAAATTACATCTTTAAGTTTTTGGCATTTAGTATTTTAAAACTCATAACTGGCATTCCATTTTCATCCTTATAAAGAGATATTACACCTTTCTTCAACTGATATCTGAATCATGAAGTCAACTTAATTTCAATGCATTTGAAACTTCATTCTATAAAAGAACACTATATTGGAGTATAATATTATATTTATCCCTTGCGAACTGAATTCCCAGTTTTCTGGGAATTCCTAGGAATTCCTAGGAATTCTCAAAAATTCCCAATTATGCAAATGACCCTTGCAAACTGAATTCCCAGTTTTCTGGGAATTTCTGGGAATTTCTGGGAATTCCTAGGAATTCCTAGGAATTCTCAAAAATTCCCAACTATGCAAATTAACTCTGATTTAAAAAGCTTGGAATTACTGGGAATTTCTGGGAAAGGAAGACTCCAGTTCTGTGAGGACTTGGAATCCCTAGGAATTCCTAGGAATTCTCAGCTTTACAAACTACCTATAATTTAAGAAGTGTGGAACTCTTGGGAATTTCTGGGAATTGAGTTTGAGGCAATTTTAATACCCTGAGGTCCACATAAATTCTAAGAAATTCTCAATACCTTGAATGTGAAGGTTTTAAGAAAAAGAGTAATTTCAGAGGCTTAAAACTTTGGCTTAATAAAAGGTATGCTATACAAAACTTACCAAGAGATATACATACATGTACATGTTTATAAATTAAAGATCATGAAATTTATTACTCAAACTAAGTTTTAGTAAATCTTTACATTAATATGGATTTTCTCATGAACCAGCTGTCAGTTATGTTAAATGGAAATTGCCAACTTCCACAATAATTAACAATAATTACATTGTTATCTTACTTCCCTAACCTACATTATTGGTTGCCTCTGTTAGAAAACCTTGGAACAGTCAAGCTCAGTTGCCTCAAACGCTGTCAGAGACCTTTTGTTGACAATACTTTTAGTAGAAATTTCATGCCTTAGACAAACAAATTCAACACCTAATTAATCTTTCTTTCTTCATGATTGTTGTTGCTGCTTTTTTTTTCAGTTTTTTGCTCTATTTTCATGACTAATTGCTGTAATTTGTTTTAAAAATTGCTGTTTTTATTCTTACAAAACATTTTTGTAAGAGTTCCAATACTTGTGGATCATCCACACACTTTGCAAACATTTGGCATGCAGACAAGACAGAGGTAGTCAATATTCCCTTTGAGGAAAAACACCTTTTATATGACGTCTTCAATTTACTTTATTTGAAACTCTGATCTGAAAATATTTGTCAACAAGACTTGTTAGTAGTGAGAAGTACCAACCAAGTTTCCTTTCATAACTTAATTTCTTAAATGTCCCAATCACTGGATCTCCCAAAAAAATATTACATCTTTTTATTTTTGGAGCAAATTACAAGTCCTTCTTTCTATAAAAATGAAAAGTGCTAGTCACACTTCAATAATAACAGCTCTTAAGTTTACTTGTTGTTCTTCTCTGTCTGTCAGCTATCAACAAAATTGTTTTATACTTCGGGCAGTGCATAACTATTTGTGGACCAGAGTTTCAACGCACCTCTGTAATCGCATATAGCTACTCCTGTCTCTTGTACAAATGTTTCTCCTTTGTAAGACGCACTCTACTCTGTTGTCAATACTGCTTTAAGTTCAGTGGAAACGACTGACTGAGGAATCGAGATGGCGGTGTTGGAACGTGTTGCTGAACGCTTGCTACGGTCAAGCTTTGTAGATTTAGGTACTGGTACACTGGGATCATCTATGTATCTCTTATACTTCCGAATGTGGTATCCTTCTTTTATAAATATGAGGGTAAAAGACGATTTGTAGTCGCATTCAAAACTGTGATTGGCTTGTGTTATTTCTCACCTTTGCCATTAACACAACTCAAGTGAGTTTCGAGTCTTTGTTTCCTCGACAACTTTCGGCCACAAATCGTGCATTTGTAATACGATCGATTCTTGTCGATTATTTCTACATAGAGTGAGCTCACATCTTTATTTATATCACCAAGCTATCCATCTTCTAGAAGCAGAGAACCGGTCGGAGAAGTCAGAATAAAGTTGGGCACTTCTTCTAACACTGCAATCGGCAAGCCAGCGGATTCACTTTGCTAGCCGATGACAAGTCCTAAAAGATCCACGTGATCATGCCCGTGATCGGAAACAAAGAAGACTCCATTTGGCGCCCACTTTGAATGTACTTTTCATCGGTTGATCGCTTTTCTCAACTGTTTTGCTTAATATAACATTTCTAAAGATAGCTATTATTGTGGTTCAATGGGAAAACGAGAATAGCGTGAGTGTTGTAAAAAGAGAAGAAAAGTCGTTGGCGCCGTGGAGTTAAAAGAAGGGACAACAGTTGACATATGGACTGGTACAAACAAGGGTCGAGTGGCCATCTATAAAGCTACGATTTTGAAAGTTTGTGGTGAGTAAAAATTGCGATATTCGTTACGTGATCAAAATCTTATAAAAGAATAGATGTAGCGGGTTGAATTAAGCTTACATAACGCTCGGCGCAACTGAAACTAGAATAATTCTGAGAATCGAATCGGTCACTTGCATGCCGCAGTTTCGTAAGCTTATGCTTTACAATGAAATAAACCTATCAGTAAGGTTTCAAGATTCCTCTAGTCACGTTTGAGAACATTCAAGATTCATAACAAACCTTAGTACATAAAGAAGCCCTCCTTG